TTTTTTTTTTTTACCTGTTGCCATTATAACGTATTGCACATGGAAAATGAGAAAATCTTTACAGGAATTCCAAGTTCCTGCTCAGAGTACCAAAGAGAGAAAGAAGTCTTTGTTGCTGGTTCTGATATATGCAGTGGTGTTCATTGTGTGTTTCCCTCCTTACCACCTCAACTTCCCATTCTATATGATGGTGAAACAACATGTCTTTTCAAACTATTCTTTTTTAAGATCATCCTATGTTTTTACATCATTTCTCTATGTCTTGCAGATCTGAATTGCTGCCTTGATCACGTTGTATATTATTTTACGACCTCAGAATTCCACAATAGGTTTTTGGACTACAGTGGTTGGCTCTTCAGTCATGTGTGAGATGCAAGGACAGTGCTTTGGAAATTCATCACAGGAAGGAGAAACTTCAAACTATCTCTCTTACAAATTTGAATGATTCCAAGATAATACAATCAAATAAATAACTAGAATAATCTATGTTCTCTATCAGTTTAGCTATGTCACCTTGAATATTTTTAAAAAATGGTACTGTTCAATGCCTTAAGAAAACATGGCCTCCTTCCTTTCATCTCCAAAATCCTCCTTCTGAAGGAATTATTCATGACTATATTTTCTATCCAAATGGAAACATGCTGTTCTATGGATAGTAAAATATCTTATTTATAGAAAGTAATAAGCACCAGAATAAATTGCACACCTGTTCCTCAGAAATAGATCCAATGTTCTCACTTTCTCCTTCAAGAAACAAAAAGTAAATTTAGAATCAGTGGACATAGGTGAATTGTCCAAAAATTGTAAAATATACAGAATAGGACCCTGACTTTATTTTAAAAATACATACTAGAGCAAAGTAGACTAAAGAGGAAACATTTTTTAATATTAGTAGGAGTTGTGAAAATTAATATCCTTAGAGCTTGAAATATCTATGAGAATTTCCATTTTCCCCTTGAAGAAATGAACAATTCAGATTCATACCAAATATCTCAAATGTATCATGAAATTCATACACAACACATACAACTTAAACACAAAACACAGTTGTATTCTAACACGTTTCATCAGCTTCAGAATTTCAGGGTTTGCAATCAAATCTCTTTGTTTGAACATCTATGAGTGTGTGTGATGCGATGCCTATTTGTGTATATTGTCAGTCAGTTAGAAAATGTTTATTAATTTGCAAATTAAAATCAATTGTTCAATGAAATGTTTATATTATTTCCTCTATATACAACCTCAGTCACAACTTTGCTTGATAGATTTTAAAGAATGAATTAATAAAGAATAATACTCATGTGTATAGTTTTTTAGTTAGACCTCATTACTCACAAGTAAAGACACATATAAAGAGAATATTGGTGAATTGAATATCATTATGAATGCAGAATGAAAATTGATATTGTTTCAAATCTTTGTGACTTTTTAATAAAATTTTGTAATACAAATCACTATCATTGAAAGTTTTTAAACTTAAAATTCACATATGGGGTTTCATTAAAATGGTATTTTATTTTTTTAAGTTTACTTGTTTATTTTGAGATGGAGTGCAAGCAGGGGAGGGGCAGAAAGGGAGAATCTCAAACAGGCTCTGCACGTTCAGTACAGAGCCCCACACAGGGCTCAAACTCATGAAACTGCGAGGTCATGACCTGAGCCAAAATCAAGAGTCAGACACTCAACAGACTGAGTCACCCAGGTACCCATAAAATGGTATTTTATAAAGCAGTGGCCAATTTTATAAGGTTATAAAGGCTTACTTTCTTGTCTTTATAAGGTTGTAAATTCACAACCTATTTTCTCTGTATGAATTTTTTTAATAGTGCTTGTGCATCAGAACAGAAACAGAAAATAACATTTGCTACAATGGGGGAAAATAGAGTAAAACTTAATGCATAAACTTGCCAAATCACTATTTGGTACACCTGAAACTAATGGAACATTATGTGTCAACTACAGTCAAATAAAAAAAAAAACTAATTTAAAAAACAGAGGAAAGTGCTTTTGGCAGATGAAGATGGTGGCAGAGTAGAAGGATCACAGGCTAGTCTTTTCCCACAAACATGACTAGATAACAAAGAAATCAACATAAATACCACAGAAACTGTCCTGAAGACTGATAGAGGAAACTCCACAATTAAAGGGAGAGAAGAGGCATCATCGGAGGTAGGAAGTGCAGAGACATGGCTTAGGTGAGAAAGAGATTGCAGCTGGTGCTGAGGGGAGCGAGCCATGGTCATGGAGAAGGGCAAGACAGAGAGGAACACACAAGGAGAATATTTTCCCTAAACAATTGGCTTGGAAAACAAAAGGGGCAGAATTTTGTGAGTTCTTTGCAACAAGCAGGGCTTAAAGCCTGGAGTTTTAAAGGTCTGAGGCCTTGGCCCTGAGGACACTGTGCTACTTCTGGAGAGAAGGCAGACAACCTGGGAGCAGACAGCATGAAAACAAATATCTGAAGAACTCCTGGGGCACACAGAGGGGAAATTATTAGCTCTTCTTGGAGTATGCCCCCTGAGAGACAGAATTCATGGAGATAACTCTCCTGGAACAAAGGAGCTGTCCAGTGCCATTTCCCTACCCTGCCCCTCAGCATAAACACAGAACCACCTGCTAGAAGAAGCTTAGTTCCTACACTGGCTTCCTAACTTTCTTACAGCAAATCCCAAACCCTGGAACTCTGGTGGGACTGTCCTTCTCAGTCAAGCTTGCCTCAGTCCCAGTGCAGCAGGTCCCTAACTCAGAAAATAAACAGAGACTCCTGTCCATACAACATCTTCTGATCAGAGAGTCCTGCAAGTCCTCAGTTCTGGCGGAAGTGGTCAAATACCATTTCACAAGAAGACCAGAGTACAGCTGGCTAAAACTCACCACATTCTGGTCAGGCAACAAACACTGCCAACAGCAGGTAAAGAGAGCCTCTGCAGATAATTCGACTGGATAGAGCAGCAAAGACCCAACAGCAGAGAACATGCAGCACACAATGGAGAAACTCCCTGAAGAAGCAGTCTTCTTAATAATGCCACTATTTTCAGAAGCAGGTGGCATAACTGGATTTTCTAACACAGAGAAGAAGGCAGAGGTTTAGACAAAGTGCAAGGAGGCAGGAATTCATCCCAAATGAAAGAACAAGACATGGCCATGGCCAGAAATCTAAGTGAAACAGGTATAACATGTTTGACAGAGAATTTAAAGCAAAAATCATGAAGATACACACTGGGATTGAGAAATAGAAGACATCAGTGAGACCCTTACTACAGAGGTAAAAGACTTAAAAAATAATCAGGGATGAAGAGTGCAATAAATGAGATTGTAAATAAGCTTCCTGTAATGAAAAGCAGGCTGGAAAGTGTTGAGGAATGAATTAGTGACCTAGAAGAAAAAAATAACAGAAAATAATGAAGATTAACAAAAGAGAGAAAGAAGAATTATGCAATATCAGAATAGACATAGGGAACTCAATGACTACATCAAACATATATATTATCAAATATAATAACATCTGTATTATAGGAGTCAGAAGAAGAAGAGACAAAAGGAGGCATAAAATTTATTCGAAGAAATAATAGCTAAAAATTTCCCTAATCTGGGGAGGGAAACAATATCCAGACATGGGAAGCACAGAAAATTTCCATCCAAATCAATAAAAGTAGGCTAACACCAAAACGTACATTGTTTCTTCTCAACAGAAACTTGGCAAGCCAGGAGGAAGTTGTATGATATATTTTAAAAAATGCTGAATAGGAAAAATTTGCAGCCAAGAATACTCTACAGAGCAAGGCTATCATTCAGACTAGAGAGTTAAAGGTTTTCCCAGGCAAACAAAGATTAAAGGAGTTTGTGACTACTAACCCAGCCCTGCAAGAAATATTAAAGGGGTCTTTTAAGTGCAAAAGAGAGACAAAATGTGACCAAAAAAAAAAAAAAGATCAGAGAAAATCTGCAGAAACAATGACGAAACAAGTAACACAGTGACATTAAATATATATCTATCAATAATTACTCTGAATGTAAATGGACTAAATGTTCCAATCAAAAGAAATAGGGTGTCAGAATAGAGACAAAAAAACAATATCCATCTATATGCTGCCTACAAGGGACTCACTTTAGCCCTACAGATACCTGCAGATTGAAAGTGAGGGGATGGATAGACATTTATCATTCAAATGGATGCCAAAAAAAGGTGGAGTAGCAATACTTATATCAGGAAAATTAGACTTAAAACACTTTAAAAAGAGACAAAGAAGGGCATTATATTCTCATAAAGGGGACAATCACACAAGAACATATAACAATTGTAAATATTTATGCACCCATCATGGAATACCCAAAATAATTAATAACCAACATAAATGAACTAATTAATAATAACACAATAATATTAGCAGAGTTTAACAAACTCTCATGTCAAGGAACAGATCATCTAAACAGAAAATAAGGCAGAAAACGATGGCTTTGAGTGACACACTGGACCAATAATGCAGCAGCAGAAAGAGACATTAAGAATCAATCCCATTTACAATTGTACCAAAAATAATAAGATACCTAAGAAGAAACCTGACCAAAGAAGTAAAAGAGCTGTACTCTGAGAACTATAAAACACTGATGAAAGAAATTGATAATGGCACAAAGAAATGGAAAGATATTCCATGCTTATGGATTGGAAGAATAAATATTGTTAAAATGTCTATACTACTGAAAGCAATCAACATATTTAATGCAATCCCTATCAAAATACCAACTACATTTTTCCCAGAGCTAGAACCAACAAGCCTAAAATTTGCATGGTACCACAAATGACCTTGAATAGCCAATCTTGAAAAAGAAAAGTGAAGCTGGAAGCATCACACTTCCAGACGTTAAGTTATAATACAAAGTGGTAGTGATCAAAATAGTATGACACTGGCACAAAAATAAACACATAGATCAACAGAACATAATAGAAAACCTAGAAATGAACACACGATCTTTGATAAAGCAGGAAAGAATATCTAATGGGAAAAAGACAGTCTTTTAATAAATGGTGTTGAGAAAATTAGCATCAATGTAAAAGAAACTGGATCGCTTTTTCATGCCATATACAAAATGAATTCAAAATGGATTAAATACCTAAACCTAAGATTTGGATTCATAAAAATCCTAGAGGAGAACACAGTCAGTAACGTCTTTGACATCGGTCATATTAACTTCTTTCTAGATATGTCTCCAGAGACAAGGGAATCAAAAGCACAAAGAAACTGCTAGGACTTCATCAAAAGCACAAAGAAACTGCTGGGACTTCATTAAAATAAAAACTGCAAAGCGAAGGAAACAATCAACAAAACTATAAGGTAACCTACATAATGGGAGAAAACATTTGCAAATGACATATCTGATAAAGGGTTAGTACATAAAATATATAAAAACTTATAAAACTTAACACCCCAAAATGAATAATACTTTCAAAAATGGGCAGAAGACACAAAAATGT